GGGGGGGGGGAAATCGCGCGTGCGTGCTGGCGTGCGTGAGTGAGTGAGTGCGTCCTCGTGTGAGTGTGTTCCGTCCCGTCGTCTCGACCCGTCGCCGTCCTTCGCCCTTCGCTCTGCCGCCTCTGTGTGAACGCAAGTCTGCTTTCCACCGCGGGCGGGCGTTCGTGCGTGTGTGTGTGCGTGTTGGTGCGCGCGTGCGTGTGTGCGAGTGTGAGCGCACACACGCGAGCGCCCGCTGTCAGCACTTCGCGTCCGGCCGGCGCCGCGGGGGGCGTGGTGCGGCCACCGTCCGGTCTCCGCGGACGTCACCCTCCTCCGCTCGGGTCAGCTGACGCGCCCGACCGAGCCGAGGCCCGAGCTTAGTCGATGGAAAAGAAAGTATTTCGAATGTGCGTTTTGGCATGGTGGTGTTGTTATTCGCGTTCTTATTCACGTTCTCCCTCGAATCGTGGCACTTGGGTGCGGTAACCGAAGAGCCTCGAGCCATTGCGCCTGAAGGGCCCGAGCGCCTATAGGCAACCTGCGGGGCGGCCGCCCAATCCAATCCCTCCGTAACGTAAACTAAGGGGCGTATTTTGACACAAATTTTTTTGGCGTCTTTGAGTGCCAAAATTCGGTGTCCTTCGACGCCAATATTGTAGTATCTTTAGGCGCCAGCCAACCCAATGTTGAGTGCGAGAGCAGCCTCTCGCTGTGCGCTGACCGCTCTCAGATTATAGAGCGACGGCTGTGATCCCTGCTGCCTGCAAGTCCCGAGGCGGCGCGTAAAATAATAGAAACCTGGCCGCTGCTAATCGCTTTGGCGAGCTTTATTTAGGACTCACGCCGTGGCAAATAGGAGCTGCGCAGCTGACTGCTTTCCTGTGAGCGGGCCCTTGTTTTGATTCGGGTGCCAAGCTAAGCAAATTCATCCTCTGCAGCTGCACGAGACTCAGACCGGCGAATGTCTTTTGGATGACCTCAGACGACTTTTAAATCATTTTTCGTTTCCTTTATTGGTCGAGGACCGATTCCAGTGTGGCCGCTCGTGACTGTGAGTGACACGTATCGTCCGTCACGTGCGAGACGCGTGCCCTAAGAAAAGTACAATGCGTGTGAGTCGTGACGACTAGGGTATGCGGGTGACCCGCACCTAGAGAGTGACCCTTCACTCGTCAGAAAGGGTGCGACCTCACCTGGAGTCAGGTCTCTCTATTCCAGGCGATTCGTCGTGACACATCTCCTCTCACGACAATCTCTGCTGGTCGGGTATACTGTTCGGGTGTGGCGGAGAGTAGCTCTGCCGGCCGGCGCTGGGCTGGAGCCACGCCCCACAACACCGGCCCGCCCCGCCCCACCCCGCCTCGCCCCGCTC